TAGAGTTTGATAAGAAGATTTTTGTCTCTACTAAATCATAGTGACTTAGATTAAATACAGGTCAAATATAGTTATGCTGAAAAATGATTAATATAGAGCTACATATGAAAACTTGACTTTTTTATGTTTACTATTTTAAGATGGATAGAAATATTTTATTTTTGAGAATCAGTAGGGCATTCCGGTTAGCTTTAGTTCAAAGGGCTTTTTTTCCTTCATAAATTTATTCTTATGATTAGACTGAAGCTTTTGCTCAGCCTTGACTTTGAAGAGAAAATATCTTCACTCACTTATTTACTGATGAGTAATAATGAAGCCTAACTTTTCCTGCTTTATATGTAGGGCATAGATCATAACCAAATTAGGAAATTCTGTAAATATTTTCATCTTTCAAAAATGTCTCTATTGCATTCAGATAATGAAATAATCGGCATGACTTTTTAAATCTGTCATATGCTCTGTTAAATATTAATACTGAAAGAATCGACTTTGAGTGGTTCACTGTTTATCATTTGATAGCATTATGAAGATTTGATTTTAACATGCATTTTTTTTTTACCTCAAAGCAGGAACAAGAGACAAGTTATACCATTCTGAGGGCAAGAGGCACAAATGTTACCATCAGTAGCCTCAAGCCTGACACTACATATGTATTCCAAATCCGAGCCCGAACGGCAGCTGGATATGGGACCAATAGCCGCAAATTTGAATTTGAAACTAGCCCAGACTGTATGTATTATTTCAATGTATTGTGGAGGGGTTGTTGGGGAGGGGGAGTTGCAAAATGTGTCTAATCATTTATATCACTCCCTCTAAGTTGTAACCAAATGTGATGCATTGAAAAGACATTGCTTGGGACATTTAGCGATCGGTATAGCATTGTCTCTGTATACAGTATTTGTGTTTATGTTGGTGTTCTTTTTCTCTTTTACAAATGCCTGAAAAGCTTCTGGTTTTCTATTAGTCATAAATTGCTTTTGAGGAACATTATTTAATATAGTAATACACTTCCAGTGCCTGTCATTTCAGATATTCCAGGTTCATTGTGTGATTCAATGAACTACAAAAAAGAAACTTGCTGATCCATGAGGATCTTAATTTTGTCTTAATCCTTGACACATTCAATGGTGTATCACTTGGAGAATAAGGATTTTCTAAAATGTGTTTTATCACTTCATTCACATTTACAAGCAATTTGGATAGCATGACCATTTGACCCCAAATTTGGCTAAAATTGATCTAAAATTGGCAAACATTTTCCCAGTAACTTTCTTTTATTTGGAATGCATTTACTTCACATTTAAAGAGCCCTCTGTTAAAATATAATTGTCAAAAAGGTAAAATCATCTCTATAGTATAAAATGAACAGAAGCTAAAGATTTTACTTAACTTATTAATTAATGAGCAGACTAGTAAGAGGTTAAAACCTGTTCAAAGGAAAATCTGAAGAACAGATATGTATACACACAAATATACCTATATATTTGTGTGTGTGAGAAAGAGAGTTTAGGCAATCAGGAATACTAAATAAATCTGCTGATATGTCCCAACAGGTTAATATCCAGTGGGGCCAATAAATGTAATGAATGGGGTCCTCTTTTCTACAGGGCATAAACCAGCTGTATCTCTAGTAAATAAGCGTTATTTTGATTGTAATGGGAAAAATCATATTCATTACTATCAGCTTTCTACAACTATTCACAGTTGTAAAATAGCCTAGAAGGGTGACCAGAGATGCATACCATTTAGAATTAGATCAATTCACCCAGGAATAGTCTGACTGTATTCAGCACTCACTGAATGGAAGCACAGTAATCTCTTCTCCGACTGTTACAATTTGCCCTTTTTCCCTGAGACCAATATTTCCTATTTTCTGAATATTTTGCTCCTGACAAAAAATCACGTTGCTATTGGTATGGTAATATTTTTGTGCCCAAATCTGATACCTAATAGAAATTTTCAAGATTGACCAAAAAACATTAGAACTGTTTAAGTTAATATAATGGAGTAAGTATTTTATGGCATACTATTTGTCAGATGGTCAGGAATGCTGCTTACAATAAGAAGCTGTAAATTCTGCAAGATTTTGTGATTCTAATGTTTTTAGAAATCATCTGCTCACAGCTGAACCATGACAATTCAACTCAATGGACAGCTGCCTTCTTTAAATACATAAATCTATCCTTAAAGACCTCTTTTAATCCTCATGCAAGGAAATAAGCATGGAGAAACCACTATCAGAGGATATTAGAAACAAATATAAAACACTATGGAAATTATAGTAAACAAGATTTAAAGCAAACGATAAATTTTAGGTGACCCAATAATAAAATATAATTGTAACTTAACATTAGTAGTTCTAAGTCGTTTTGTAAATTTTAAATGGTACAAAGTTTCTCCCTTTTAAAATGATTACATATT